CCCTTTAACGGCATTGGTTTCTCAATCATGCAGTGATTGCACACTCAATCTTGTTTGTGCATCTATTGTACGAATTATTAAGTAATTAATGACCCACATCCAATCTTTAAGCACTTCATGGTTCACAGCAATCAAACACACAGCCCTGTTTATGCCTAAATAACGTGCTGTCCTTCACGAAACAAGCATAATGCTCTGAGAAAAGAAAATAGTTTGGATCCCATTGCTCTCCTCAATGAGGCTGAATCATCTGCTGACTTCCTGCGTGTTGCCTTTAGAATACTAATAGCTATCTTTGTGTGGATATCAATGTCAGAGGCTGTGTTTGAGATAGGAGCTATGCAATATTCTTCAGCTTCTGAGAGATCATGCAGGGTTCGCTCAATAGAGGAGGCTTCCAAGAGCTTGCAGGAATCATATTCTGACAGGGATCTTTCAGTAATCAGTGGCTTTACACACAGATTCAACTAACCATCCGAAACAACTGCCATACTGCTCTAATGTGCAATTACAGGATTTGAAATTCAAGCAGCAGAGTAAATCCAGCAAAGCCTGGAGCATCCATATGTCCCTTTTGCTTTATATAGAAATAATGAGCCATTTGTGCGTTTCCTATTAAAATGTTTGCATACCCAACACTTGAATAACACAAACAACTCATTCATCCAACCTGCGTTCAGAGGTCTCCATTCATCTAAGCTACATCGCTAGTCACCGCTAACTCTGCCCCATACAATCCCCACTGCTGTTCAGCATGACGATTTACAAATATGGATTTTCCACTAATTATACTAAGTGTGTTTTAAAAGCTTTTAAAATCCGTATGCCCTAAAGAGTCTTCGCTCCAATTGTTCTAAGGGGAACTACTTCTGGGATGACAGTAGTATAATGATCTGAGAGAGGAGAACCGTGAAGCCAGGAGGCGGAACCGCTAATTGACTGAATCCGAACAAACATTATCTTTTCTTTCATCTCACACACAACTCTAGCCTCTTTAATCTGTGTAATATCTCTCCACTGGCTCAGGTCTCACAGAATCTGTTACACCAGGTCGCCACAGAAAAATGAAGCATTATAATATTAGTTTACAGATTAAAACAACAATAATTTTACAGCTAATAAAATATATTATATTTTACAATTTTATGTAATTTAAATTTATTTTTAAAATGTAATTTAGTCCTGCTATTTAGATGCTAATTTAAATGCTATTTAGTCCCATGGACTCAGTTTATTTTTGTTGATTCTGCAAACTTTCCCAGAGATGGTTTGCAGCTGAAAAGGCATCTGCTGTGTAAAACATGTGCTGGATAAGTTGGCGGTTCATTCCGCTGTGGTGGCCCCAGATTAATAAAGGGACTAAGCCAAACAAAAAATGAATGAATGATTCTACAAACACTTTTATGCTGCGTTCACACCAGATGTGGCATGTTCAGATAAATCGCACTATTCGCACATAAATAGACGCGTGGACACTTTGAGCTTGCTAGCTTCATTCCAGTGTAAAATTCATTTCATTCAGACGTCAAATTCATTTCACAACAGACACAGATTTGTGTCTATAGCATCATGGGCAGGGCTTGTGTCTGCCCAGTGACTCTAGCTTCGATGCTAAATGGCTAACATGGATTTTATTAAAATAGTAGCTGTGCTTTATGAAGGCTGAAAAACAGCGTGGTTTCATTCGGCGCAGAGTTTACTAGATCCTTTCAGTAGTGAGTTCATCAACTCCTCCTGAAAATACACCTGGATGATGGAGGCTTTCAGTGGTGCTTCGGACTGAGCCGAGTGTAGTTTGATGAACTGTTGTCTGGTGTCGGCAAGGGGACAAACAGCCCCCCGGGACACAAACAACAGGCACTTTGTCTTAATGACTTCTCTACAAGAGCAAGCTTCTGATTAGTTAAGGCGGCATGAATGTCCGCTGAAGTTTAGATTTTCCAACTTGAGCGATTCAACGCACAAAATGCTCAACTCGCACTGCTTCATTCGCGCAAATTTTATAATTTGCGTCAACCGTGCCGCAGGATGTGTATTTGCATCTTTACATTGACTTAACATATAAATAACTCACGCTTGATGCTCCATCAACGTCTGGTGTGAACACAGCATTAAGCTGTTTTGGTTTTAAACTTTTAGAAACTTTTTGGCAGGCCTTCATAATTTCTTTTTTCTAGTTTTCAAATGATTTCATTCATACAGTTGAAGTCAGAATTATAAGCCTCCCTGAATTTTTAGCCTGCTTGTTTATTTTTTTTTCCTAATTTCTGCTTAATGAAGAGCAGATTCTGTTTCAAACACATTTCTAAACATAACAGTTTCAATAACTCATCCCTAATAACTAATTTATTTTATCTTAGCCATGATGACAGTAAATAATATTTCACTAGATATTTTTCAATACACTTCTATACAGCTTAAAGTGACATTTAAAGACTTAACTCAGTTAATTAGGTTAACTAGGCAGGTTAGGGTAATTAAACAAGTTATTGTATAACGATGATTTGTTCTGTTGTCCATTGAAAAAAAAAATGGCTTAAAGATGCTTAAAATGTTGTCCTTAAAATGGTGATTAAAAAATTTAAAACTGTTTTTATTTTAGCTGAGATAAAACAATTAAGATGTTCTCCAGAAGAAAAAAAACATTTTCAGACATACTGTGAAAATATCCCTTCTCTGATCCATATCTTTTGAGAAATATTAAAAAAAGAAAAAAAAAGAAAAAATACAAAGGCAGTCTAATAATTCTGACTTCAGCTGTACATATTCCTATCAGTGAATGTTTTACTCTAGTCACAATCTGGTTTCAATCTAAAAACCATCATACAAATACTGACAAAATAATAATACTAATATCAACCAAGAGTGATATATTTATTGTGTGAAATTGATTACTTAAATTACTGTCCTAAAATAAAAATAAAAAAACTCCAACATGACTAACACTTAGCATAATTACTGCAAGCCCAGAACAAATGAAAAACAATAGTGCCGTCAGTTACCAGTTACCAAGGAGACAACACCGTCAATTAAGATGACTGATGTGATAAAATGTGAAAAATACTGTGTGGAGCAGGGAAAAAAAGGTAAATAATGCATTTATTGCATGTCATTTCCAATAAAGCTGTTATTTTCCCAACTTATTCAGCAGTGTGAAATTATTATTAAATTGTCTGTATTTAAATTTGAGGTATGAAATTAGACTTAAGATATTGATATGATAAAATATTGAAAATGTAAAAGTGAGAGTGAGATCCACTCTAAATGGGAAAAAGTGTTGAATCCACATGCTCAAAGTGTTGTTTCTCTGAAGCTTCAAAAGATCCGTAAAGAGACAAATCAATAGTTCTTAAATTACATTAAATACTTCTGAAGAGACATGATTATCATGATCATTGTCTTTAACATATAAACATTGGCCATTGCAGACAAGACACCTCACCTCACTAACACATACTGACATGAAATGCAACAATAAACCTCACTAATTCTAACACATCAAGCAAACACGCATGAGCTTCATATACTGTACAATTCTGAATGCTTTGAACTTTGTTCAATGTTTATGTCAGAATAAAAGGCCAAATTAAATCAGTTTATACACTCACATATAATTTTTTTTGTAACCCAACATTTGGTTGTCCATATTTGATTCAAATTGTGATTGAACTAACACAGCGTTTTGTTGGAGAGTAAAGCAATCGTGTCTCTTCAGACTTGATTTAATTCCATTTGTATGGACTTATTTTTGATCCTTTCATAAACATTTTGAAGCACTGAAGTTTTAGATCAATATACTTTTTTCGTATTTGATTTGAAAAGAGATGAACAAATGACTTGTAAGTTTGGAATTATATAATGTTAAGTAAATGATGACAGAATTTTCCTTTTTGGAGTAAACTAACACGGTAAGGTTGCCCAAACTCTGTCCTGGAGGGCCGGTGTCCTGCATGGTTTTGCTCCAACATTCTTCAACACACCTGCTTAGAAGTTTCTAGTAAACCTAGAAAGAACTTGATTAGCTGGTTCAGGTGTGTTAAATTGGGGTTGAAAATATGCAGGACACCAGCCCTCCAGGACCGGGTTTGGACACCCCTTGGCAAAATGATAATAGCACAGAGAAGATAAAGTCACAGAGTTCCTTTCGTTTTTTTCAGCTGACATACAACACAAATCTGAACAACCATCAGAATCCAAGTTCTCACATTTCAAGGAACAGATGATGAACTACAGCACACAATAACAATAAACAGGAGGTTTTCACCCATTAGTGTAGATGCTAATATAGTCATGTACCCTTTTCACACGTTTAACGGCCATCAGCATCTTAAATCCTTGAAAGCTTTTAATAGTTAGAATTTTTTTTTAAGTATGTCAATTTATATGTATTTACGAATAATGTTATCAGTCACACATTTTTTCCATTTTCTGAATGCCTTGATAATACTATTGCTGAGGTTTTTCTTAATAATTTGAGCAAACAGTATTGCAAAAAAAACATATACATTTATTGTACTCTCCCATTCTTTGCACTCTAAGTTTACCCAACTATCACGACATCTATTACTGAGAAACCTAAAAATGTGAAAAGGGTCCATTGCTATCTTTGTTCAACCCAATTAAATTCAGCTTTATTTGTATAGCACAAGGAGCTTCACATAAATGGTCATAGTAATTGGAACAGAGTAGTTCAGTTTTTAGTGTTTAAGTTCATTTCAGTTTAGCTCAGTCCAGTGTGGTTTAAAATAATTACTGAGAGTCCAAACACTGAAGAGCAAATTCATCGATGGGTAGCTCTACCAATCCCAAACCATGCAAGCTAGTGGTTACAGTAGAGTAATTATTATTCTTATTTGAACACATCTCTATCTCTTTTTTATCAACCTTTGCCTTTTTTGGAAGAATTTGTTTATTAACGGGATTAATATACATGAATAAATATTAAAGGATTATTAATAGAATAAAACATCAGTCACTCAAACTCAGTATAGACTACATACCATGACAGAAATGTGCAGAATGCGCAGCTCCTCTTCAGCAGAGTCACTAGCAGGGTAAGCAGTGGCCGCCGGACCAGGCAAGTTCTGACTGCCGTCCTGATGGTGAATGTGGAAAAGCAAAGTGCCATTTTCCAACCACTGCTGTCGCCAGCGCACCAGAGGAATGTCTTCAGAGTTCCCGGAGATCTCTGCCAAAATAAACAGAAGAAAATTTAAAAAGTTAAATCAAAAATGTTATGTTGCGTTGAGGAATATGTGATGGATGGCAGGATAAATCAGAAATGCTCCTGTCATGCAAATATATGCAGTGTGCTGTGACTATACATTATTCATATCTCACTCCAGAATTTTTTAGGGATATCAAAGCAATCCCTATGGCATTTGAACTTTACTGTCTAAACATACGTGATCGGGTTAAACAGCCTCAGGTTTGGTTAATGAATGCAAAGACAGAGCTTGTCGGGGAAAAAAAACACATTAACTGGAATAATGCCACTAGACATTACATTAATGGATGATTAGGTGAAGATATATGATGATATATGAGCTTTCCTTACATTCACTGCACAAAGCAAACCAACATATGTTCTTGGCATTGCAAAAAGTCTGTTTGATATGTAAGGACAGAGGATTTCAATAAGCCTTTGAAAGAGAGTAAAGTGACATTTCATGACAGTTTATTGAACTATTGGGCAGGGCAAAACACTGGATATGTGCTTTTAATTTTTAATAACTGTTATAAAATTCTCTTTTCATTTTTTTATTTTTTTTGATTAAGCATTTGTTCTTAAAAACTCTGATGCACACTTGAAACAAATGAAAAACAAAGCTTTTGACCTGCACTTCTTTGTATGCATTGGTGATATTTTACACAAAGGGGAGGCAGACATTGCCTTTCAAAACAGCGCTTGCAGACTGAAAATCAGTGGAGAACCCCTGACCCACTTTATGAGTTGTATATGCACAGGCACAAGCCAGAGTGACTCTGCACTTCATCACTAGACGCCATACACAGTCCCAGGGGTCTGGTGTGGTACAGCACCTTTATTGATGAAACAGCACGTATGTTACAACACAAACAAAGCCATGTTACAAAGAATAAATTGCTGCTGTTTGTTTGTTTCCTATAAGGGTATTTCTTTAACCATGAGCAATTCTGCCCCTGTGGACTTTTAGAAATAAACTCTCTTAAAATACACCTTCACACTCACACAGTTTATTTGTGTACTAAGTTGCCATTGTTTTATTGTTCTATCAAAGTTATGCCATCTGCAGAACTATCGCTAAAAATAATAAATAAAAAAAGAGGTTTCCAAGTTTAAATAAGTTTAATTTGACAATATATGTGGGGGAATAAGCTCTATTAAAATACAAATACAAAACAAAATATTAACTAATAAATAATAAACTCCATTAAAATACAGTTTCACTCCAGTTTGTGTATTAAGTTGCTGTTGTTTTATTGTTCTCTAAAAGTTATTCCCAGAACGATGTTGTTTCACGTTCGTAGAGCTAAATAAATAAATAAATAAAATGTTTCCAGGTTTGAAAAAAAGTTTAATTTGACACTGAATTTGAGGGGAAAAAAACTATCGTTCTCTAAGTTATGAATGTCTCCGGAACAATGTTGTTTCCACATTCATATAGTGAAAAACAAATAAATAAATGCATAAAAGATTTCCAAGTTTAAAAAAAAAGCTTAATTTATCACTAAATTTGAGGAAATAAACACTGAATGATCTATCTAAATTACCTATTAAAACACTGAACAAAATACTAAATAATAATAATACAAAATATTAAGTAATAAATAATATACACCCTTAAAATACATGGTTTTGTTTGAGCATTAAATTATTGTTTTATTGTTCTATAAAAGGGATGAACATATAAAACAATGTTTTTCCACATTCATATAGCCAAATATATAAATAAAAATAAATAAATCAATTTGACTAATTACTGAAAATGTTGCTGAAAATAACTTTAAGAGAATGTTCATGAGTAACAAACATTCAAGAATCCAAAAGTTAGATTTAGCTTAATGTGTTTAATTAGCTGTTAGAAATTTGACTTTGAATTTAATTATTGTCTTGACAGGCAATGCGATCTGTAAAATAACCTGAAGGCTTTCCATTTCACAGGCTGAATCCTTCCTGTGATCACAGATTTTTTTCTTGATGATGGAGTCAGTTCAATCAACCTAACCTATTCAGTGCTGTAACAAATCTGCAATATCAACCAGCAGAATAAATATCTTGGAGAGGTCTTTGTAATGTTTACATTCTCAGGTATAATTTATAATTTATATATAATCGAGTTACAAAAAAGGAACGCTAATAAATAATTAGTCAAAGAGACAGACAATGGCAAGTTAGTCAGGTTATCTGGAGTGCAATTACCAAAAGTACTGTAGGCCATTGATGCAGGTTGTGTCATTATCAATGTACTCAAAACTGAAATTTGAAAATTCACGAACAACCTCAATTTTACCTAAAAACAACATCTGGGCTAAAATATAACTTTGATCAGAATATCATGCAGTCCATTTTTTGTTTCGTTTGGGAACTGCGCTCCAGATTAGGAAATGAGAAGTATAAAATGCAGAAATATAATATTTGTGTTAAGTAATTTATTTCAGGATGCTGAGCAGAGTGTGTATATATTTTTGTTTTTGGCTAACTGAAGACCTAACCTGGAGTCACCATCTTCTGCATATGCTTAGTCATTGATTTTGAATATGGGCCTGCAATGTAAAAAAAATTGTTTGTCAATATTTAAAAATTAGGCAGCACGGTGGTTGAGTGGTAAGTCGTCTCACAGCAAGAAGGCCGCCTGTTCGAGTCCTGGCTGGATTAGTTGTTTTTTCTGAGTGGAGTTTGCATGTTCTCCCAGTGTTTGCATGAATTTCCTCTGGGTGCTGTGAGTTTCCTTCACAGTCTAAAGACATGCGGTATAGGTGAAATGAACAAACTAAATTAGCCGTAGTGTAAGAGTGTGTGTGAATGTGAGTAGTATGGGTGTTTCCCAGTACTGGGTTGCGGTTGGAAGGGAACCTGCTGCATAAAACATATGCTGGAATAGTTAGCGGTTCATTCTGCTGTTGGATAACTGCTGCCCAGATAAATAAGGGACTAAGATAAAGGAAAAGGAATGAATGTAAAATAAAAATAAAAAAACGTTTTGAATAGCTCTTGATTTGTGGGTTTCTGTTTATTTAAACTGAAAAAATGCATTAAAGGGCCTTGATCTCTGTTTTGAACTTTCAATGTTCAAAATGTGACTTTTTTTAGTATTTTAGTTTTAAACAATGTCTTCTTGACTAGGTTGAATGTGTAAATCCCACTACAAAAATGAAGTTAGTATTTCTGCTATTTTATGAACATTTTTCTGTACATTTTGTTTTTGCACAAAAAAAAAAGTCAAGTAAAAAAAAAAACAAAACAAAAAACAAAAAAAAAAGTCAAGTCAACAAAAGCGACTTTTCAACATCAAATGTTGTTGGAACAGAGATCAAGATCCCGTAATTAAATTTTAAATGGAAACATAAACAGAAAACACCCTTGACACTTAAAAGCTATGGTTAACTGTCTGTTTAAACAAATATGTGCTGTATATCCTGACAAGAATTTTCCTAATGTCACAGAGTGCAAACCTACATGACCAATAGTTGAGATGTGGGTGAAAAAGAAATTCATGTTTGCTCTCAGAAGTGCAAGCTAACATTTGAAGACTTGCTAAAATACCCAAAGATAGACCTGCAAAGCCAGATTGAGGGGATTTGAGTGAATGTTTAGGTCTTAGTCGTAACACAGAATATGCAGAGCTTGCTAAGCTCAAATTTTTACCAAATATGTTAGGCCTAATTTAATCTACTGTATGTAAAGAATATTTATCTTTGTGTGAATGGGTGTGTTGAGTGCCACCTTTGGTTTTTTGAATATACTGTATGCTTTATTAATGCTACACAGTGATATAGACAACACCCAAACAATGTAAAGCTGCTCTTCTGTTGTTTTATTTAATAGAAAAAGGCATCAATTCAGTTCTACTAGATATCTATGTCTGTGTACAATGAAACAAAAAAGATGATTAGAAAGGCAGATGCAAGTAAAAATCTTTAAAGGGCCCTTATCATGCAAAATCAACTTTTAGAAGCTGTTTGGACTGAACTGCATGTATCAACAGTCATATCAGAGTGAACACAAAAAGTCTGTTTTTTATGTTAAATTAGGATCCAAATCATGTGATTTTGATGCACACCACACTGATGTAGCATTGATTAATGTGTACATTTTGAGCTATGTAATTTATAACTGCTGGAATCAGCACAGCTGCATAATGTACACCACTACAAACGAGGATACTTTAATCACACAACAAGAGACCCAGATTGTGGATGGTAAATCAGGCTTTTTTTCAGAGCTTGACATTAACACCCGCCAACTTGCCTAATGCGGTTAGATTTCACCTGTGGCAGATTAAACAGACAACCCCACTAGCCATTTTGGCTCATTTAAAATATATATGTTTTAAATTGCCAGTGCTGCCTTGTACCTAAATGTTAGAATTTTAGTTTAAGACAGTGTATCAATATGTGTATAAATGTGACCTTAGAATCATTTTCTCCAATAATTATCATCCTTTACAATCTAATAATAGCCTGGACAGATTGATATGATATATATATATATATATATATATATATATATATATATATATATATATATATATTTATATTTAAAATTTGTGGCAAGGAAATAATTAGTTTTGTGTCCCTGCGAAAAAAAAAAAAAAAGTAAATTCGTAGTGTTGAGCTTTAAAAAGTAACTAATTGCAATGTGACACTATGAAACCACAACTCATTTGCTCATGCTCATTGAGCAAGCTCATACACAACACACAAAAAATGTGTACAAATGTAAAATATATTTTCCCAACAACAAAACTGTGGCTAGTGAAAATTGCGAGTGGCTAGTAACATGGGAAAACTTCTAGCCAAAGTGGTTGGTGATCAAAAAAGTTATTGTCAAGCCCAGCTTATTTTGTACAGTAACTTAAGTAAGCTATAATAGATCTCTATACAGCAGCATTGTTACCCTTTTTTTGTAAGCATCCAGTCACATTTGTGTCGATGCAGACGTGCGTTTAAACGTTGTAACAGCATTTGTCTGTGGGTCATTCATCT